GCTCCATAATTTTTGAGCTGTACCTGCTTCTCTCACAGCAACCAATAAAAACTCAGCTTTGGGAAGATATGAGATCATCAAAAGGGATACAGAACCAGCTACAGTTGAAACAGTGACCTATCTAGCTCCTGTGATGTTTGATATGTGTTTTCCCGTAAACACTTAGAGTATCTTGTTGCCATGAATTTGCCACAGGGTTCTGGGGCATCTCAGCATACAGTTTGGGAACTGTAGCATTATACTACGAAATATATATCTGCTAAGTGTACTTAACTCCTCACATTTCATTCCCAGTAGGACGAGAAGCTAAACCAGAGGGAGAAAGTGCCGCCCAGATCAGTAAGGGACGTAAGAGAGAGCTGCACTGATATCTAGATACAGCCTGGAGAGTGTGTGTTATTTCATTTGTACATGTCAAATTCCAGATAAAACAGAAAGTTGTGAGTTTGGGGTGTTTTTTTTTTTCTTTAGAGATAAGGTCTTCCCTTGTCACCAAGACTGGAGTTCAGTGGAAAAGTTGCAGGTTTTTAATGCTTTTCTACTATGTTTGCTAAAAGGTAAAGGATTGACTTGTTAATTATTCAACTTTTTACTAAGTACAATTTTTAGGTACTACATATATATGTATTTTGAAATATTTCTTCATGTTTTTAAAAATAATCTCAGTGGAAGTTACTTGCCAAAAAGTACTGGGTTTTAATCATTCTTTAAAACCTGTATTCAATTATGCAGCCTTCAAAAAAGATGGAGATTTTACCTCTTTTATGTTTGCATGGATGTCGCTGGAACATATTCTTCTCAGTCAAGTATCTCAAGAATGGAAGATAAAGTATCCAATGTACTCAGCTCTACTATGAAGCCAATATATCATCACCCACACTTCAATATGAAAGCTATAACCCAACTACAGCCCAAGATGAAGGGGGAAGAGGACGGGGAGGGGAGGGGAGAGGATGGGTGGAGGGAGGTAATTGGTCGGACCACACCTATGGCACATTTACAAGAGTACATGTCAAATCTATTAAGTGTAAAGTATAAATGTCTTAACACAATAATTAAGAGAGTGTGGTAAAGGCTATGCTAACCAGTTTGTTGTATTTCAAATTGTATATAAAACTAGCACATTGTACCCCATAAATGCATTAATGTACACAGCTATGATTATAAAAAAATCTGTATTCAGTATAATATATATTCAAGGAATATTAACTGCATTTTTCTTATTAGGAAGTTGGTGTTTTCAACATCCTAATTGTCAACAAGCAGATTCAGAGAGCTAAAGATCTGTTTTCAAAATTAAAAGCTAAAAACGTATTAGCAAGAAGAGAACGAGTGATCCCATCTCAGGGTGGGCAAGGGACTTGAAGAGAAATTTCTCTAAAGAAGATCGGTGCACGGCCTACAGATATATGAAAAA